TTTCATCAACCGAACTCATTATTTTTTGAGGGGTCGGCGAGCTGAGCCTATGGTCTAGGGAGTCATTTTTTACAAAAGCGAAAGGGCGGCAGCACATGGAGACTCTCTTGTTTCCGGAAGGCCCAGCTGAATGCTGCTACAGAATATTCGATGAAGCACTCGACAATTCACAAAAGACAAAACTGAGACGGGACGGCTTGGTTTGACTTTGGAACCCAAAGGCAACAATGAAAGGGGAGGCAAGGGCCATCAAAAAGCTTTCCACTAAAAATAGCCAATTTATTTTTTCAATTGAAAAAATACATATGCTAGTTCCTATGTTTAATATAAAAATTAATTTGATATTTAATTTGATCTTAAATATTAAATTTTAATATACTGTATCACTAATATTTATCTATTTTTTAAAATAGTCATTATCTTAATTCGTCATATTAAAGATTTCATCAAATGATAGTTCTAGTTAATATATACAATTAGTAAATGATATTTTAAGGAAGACAACACATATTTTTTTACAAATAACTAACTTAGTAAAATTTTTTAATATATTTAAATTAGTCAACTATACTTAATAACTTGATATTGTTATTGCTGAGATCAAATTCATGACTTCTTATTTTTACAAAAGGCTTACATTTTTTTTTGAACTTTTGAAAGATGAAAAATTTTATGCTCTTTATAATTTAAGACCCAAAACCTTTTTTTTTTAAAAAACATTAATGTCGTTATTTGCATTTTTATTTCATCAATTCTTTTTACCTTTTTGGTAAAAAATAATCTTATGCTCAAATATTTTTTTATTTTTATTCACCAATAGAAAACCCATCCTTTTCGATTTTAAGGTATGTTATCTCCTCCTTGGTCTTTCAATGCATTTTCCAATCTGGGTAATGGAATTAACAGAGAAAAGTCGAAAAAAGAAATATAAAGAAAATTTTTCAAAAAGATGCCTCTTACCACTTTTTTTCAAAAAGATACCTAATTAAAACCGAAAATATATATAAATATAAGCAAAATGGGTTATTTCTTTGTGAAAGACAAACCATATGAATTGCCTTCTGGATGGTACTTTTTTGAAAAAATGAAATCATTGTTTGGGTAAATTATTCTATTTCAGTGATTTGGGCTTGAATATAGAATCTCATTTCTTTTTATTTCCTAAATTTATAATTTTTTTGATAATGATACATATTAAAAGAATTTTCTATCACTTAAGTAATATCCTGTGTAAATGACTAATAAATAAGTCATTTAGAGAAACAACATATTCTTTTATAAAAAATTAACTTATATAATTTTTTAAATATTTATAAATTTGATTTGGGTTAATATAATTTTTTGTTCTTAAAATTTGGGTTTATTTTGATTTTGGTCCCTCAAATTTTAAATCTATAATTTTAGTCCTTGAAATTTACTCTGTCTTAGAGCGTTAGTCCTAGAAGGTACAAGAGTGTTAAAATCTTCAGAACCATTTTAAAGAGTGTTAAAGTGATAACATAAAACCATCAGATAGTATCTAATTGGATATTGCATGCATGGATAACGGGAAAAAAAAAAAGGAGAACAGAGCAGGTCCTCAAAATGTAACACAAAGAATGATTGTGCAGAAAGGGATGAGTTCTCAATTAAAATACAGCATAGCGAACAAGTTTTCAAACGAATAATGAGGGAAAAAAGAGGGTAAACAACTGTGTTTTGAAAAGATGTTCTTTTTTTTTTAATCCCCTGTTATTTATACACAATTTAGATAAGTATTTCTTTGTGAGTTTACATCACCACTTTAATACTATATAACAATTTTGCAAATTTTAACACCATTATATTTCTTGGGACTAACATTTTAAGAAGATTAAATTTTAGAGACCAAAATCATGTGTTTGAAATTTGAGAGATCTAAATCAAAATAGATATAAATTTTAAGGACAAAATAATTATATTAACCCATTTAATTATTAAAAATTCAAGGGAATAATTTTTATCAACTCTTGGTAAAGCTGTTCAAAGTCGCACGCGAAGCAGGAATGCAACACGGCAACACCATTGACACGCGAGCTTCCTGGAAACTGGAATAAGAGCCTCTGAAACACAGATAAACACACGTGAGTGAGGCATTTGGTGATCTCTGAATTTGAAGAGCTTGTTTCAAGAGAAAGCAAGCTTGCAAGTTCTGAATCTGCCATTTTTGAGACCTTAGTTTGTTAGAGCTGTTTTCTTTCGCCTCCCTCCACATGGATCCAGGTTCATTTCCTCTCTTTTACTTGCTTTATCGCATGGATCCATTGCTCCATCCACTGTATTGCAATCTCTTTTCCCAAAATTTTCACAGAAAAATTCTGCATTAGATTTGCTGTTTTCTTCTCCTTGTGCTAACTGTTGATTATATTAGTCTCCTCCATAGCTACCTTACGGTCGTAGATCTAATAAAACTTCAACATTTGGAATTTTTTTATACTTCTGGAAAACGAAGTCCCAGAACGTTCTAAGATATCGGTGGATTTTTTTTTTTAACCTTGATCTATCGACCAGCGTCTTCTTATATTTTATTCAATTTTTGTAAATGAAGTAAAAGGTTGATTTATTTATTATACATTAAAAAATTAAAAAATTATTTATATTTATCATTTTTTTAGTTAATTTATTTCACTTACAAATTATTATATAATTTAATAATATATTGAACTATTTTAGAGATTATATAATATATATTATAACTAAGTAATTTGGTAATTTTTTTAAAATTTACTCAATTAGTTTTTATGATAATATTATAAAAGCAAAGTGCTTGTCCCCATTTCGCTATTATGCGTAAAAAAGCATCAATATAAACCAACGGCGCATATTCTCTCTCTCTCCCCCCCTATAATCCACTTACTTGATCCCACCGATCTTCGGTTTTACCAGTATTTTCATAGTATTTGTGTTAATCCTAGAAAACTTCGTTATACTCCTCCGGTCCTAAATATAAGACCCATTTTATAGTGTAATTTATACTGCAAAATGAGTCTTATATTTAAGACTGGAAGGAATACTAAATTATTAATTATTCGTTAAATTTGTTTGAAGAGGAGGAAGTCTGCAAAGCTCGAAGCTGACATTTTTGAGACCTTGAGATCTAAGCTGACATTTAGCAGGTTAATACTTGTTATGATAGATTAAGCATTAAGCACATGTTAGTTTCTGTAACAGATTCTAGAAGTAATTACAGCTGTCATTTATGAGTTAATTGCAACTTAATCACCACTTGTATATTGATCAATGAGCCTATACATACAGAGCAAGGCCTCAATGTGTGTCAAGTCACTGAGCCTACATTCAGGTCATAATATCTTCTAACTATCCATTAATTCTTTTCTTTTTCTCTTCCACTTGCTTCATCCTATTAAAATATACTGTTTTGCAAGCATTTCCCCAAAATTTTCACTGTTTTCTTCTCAGGGGACAAATTCTGTAAATTTGTTAATGTCTTCTTTCTTTTAGTGTTGATAATCTCGTCCCTAGCTACCTTACTTGCTGAAGGCTGAAGCTAGAAACTGCTATCACAACCATTGCTTCAATGCTCCAAAAAGCTTTATTGATCGTATTGGGAGTATCAATTTCCAAAGCCATCAGACTCATCTCTCCTTCTCGTAATGGTAACCAACCAGTTGGTATTGATGCTAGGTAGCTACCTTCTTCTAAATAACCTCACACTCTTTATTTTCTTGTTTGATTTGCTCTTACATATAATTTCTTCACGATTTATTTCCGTCTGTAGTTCTGAAGACGATGTTATTTTGACTCAAACGGATTCTCCTCCTGCTACCAAGTATAATGTGTTCCTTAGTTTTCGAGGAGAAGACACTCGCCACAATTTTGCAAGTTATCTTTACAAAGCACTTCGAGATGCAGGCATTCACACTTTTATGGATCATGAACTCCGCAAAGGAGAATCGATCTCACCAGTTCTTCTAAAAACAATAGAGGAATCAGAAATATCTGTGATTATTTTCTCTGAGAATTATGCTTCTTTAACTTGGTGTCTAGATGAGCTTGTTCACATATTAGAATGCAAGCGTAAATTTGGAACGGTTGTGATACCTGTTTTCTATAACGTAGATCCTTCAAGCATACGCAAACAAAATGGAAATTTTGGAAAAGGATTTGATGTATTGAAGCAAAGATTTAAAGACAACCTAGAAGAATTGCAAAAGTGGAGAAATGCTTTAATCCAATCAACAAATCTCTCTGGATGGGATTCCCATAGTACCAGGTAGCTTAAAAATGTTCCTTTTGTTGTTGGTTTTGGGGATTTATTCAATTAATTTTTAGAATTCTAGCAAATTATTGTTGTTTTTATTTGTTGGTTTTGAGGATTTATGCGTTTTCTTTTGATTGGCATTTATGCTAGACTTGAATTCAAACTTATTGAAGAGATTGTCAAGGATATTTTGAGGAAGTTGAACTATGCGTCATCATCTCATCTTGAAGGACTCATTGGCATTGCTCGACATATTAAAAACATTCAGAGGCTCCTCATTGAGGCCCCCATTGTGGGAATATGGGGTATGGGTGGTGTTGGTAAGACCACACTTGCTAAAGCTATACTTCAAGAGTTGAAAGCTCAATTTGATGCTTTCTCCTTTATTGAAAATGTCAAAGAGCAATTAAAAAGAATTAGTTTGGATGAGTTGCAGAAGAATTGCCTCAAAGAATTATTAAAAGATGAGGATATTAGCATCTATGACATAAAATCCACTTTTTGAAAAATAGGCTTAGAACAAAAAAATTCTTCTTATACTTGATGATGTGGACAATTTAATAATAGTGGCAGATTTAACCAGGGTACTTGATTGGTTTGGAGAAGGAAGTAGAATTATTATCACATCAAGGGACATGCAAGTGCTGAAGAATGCTTCAGCAACATCTTCAACATATCACGTTCCGGATTTGGATTTTGAAGGTGCTTTTCATCTCTTCAATTTGAAAGCATTCAAGCGAATGAGCCATCTAAAGGTTACATGGAGTTATCAAAATCAGTAGTGAAATATTGTCACGGAAACCCGTTAGCCCTAGTAGTGCTGGGTTGCTTCCTCTACGGCCGACAAAAAGAAGAGTGGGAAAGTGCATTGGAAAAACTAACTCAAGCTCCACCAAAGGACATTGTTGATGTTCTGAAGTTGAGTTTCGATGGACTTGATGACAAACAGCAGAATATGTTTCTTGACCTAGCATTCTTAATCAAGCAAGGAGTTCGTATTTCTTTGAAGCTAATGAGACAATTATATTGCTCTTCTATGCATATTGAGATAAGTGTTCTTAGAGAAAAGTCCCTCATTTCATTTAATAATCATAATGACATCATTGAGATGCATGATCTTGTGAGGGAAATGGGTCTTGAAATTTCAAGCCAACAATTATTCTCTGGTCGTAAAATCCCTGTTCGACTATGGAGGCACGAGGACACTTACCACTTTTTCCACAATGACCAGGTACTACTTTACTTTTTAGTTATATTCTTTATTCTCTTAATAGTTAATATTTCTTTTCCTTGTGATGTATTTTCTTAAAGTTATTTGTTTTCATTAAATTCTTCGATAATTTTCAATATCTGCCCAAATAGACCTTTTTTTTTTTAAAAAAAACCCTCCTTTCTTTGACTAAAATTTGTTGGAGCAAAGCAAATTCTTTTTATTAGTTGTGATTTTTTAAGCTTAAAATTTTAGTTTTATATTTACAATTAAAAAAAACTTTTAAAAATATATTGGGTCTTATATTAAATATATTAACTATGCTAGGTGTTATATTGAATTTGGTCCTAAATATATTAGGTGTAATTTTAAGCTTAAATTTTTAAACTTTCTATTAGTTCTGAGATAGAATATGATTAGGATGATGTAAGACGTATTTTTTAAATTTAGAGCATGAACGATCTTCAATAAATTATAAAATTATTCACGGAGATTGACATATTTTATATTAATTGATAGCAGTAGCAAACCAAAAATTGATGTAGTATGAAAGTGATTGCGTATGCTCGTACACTGCACATGCATACTCACGCATTTTCTTGATAAAAATTCAGTAATATTGCAAAAAGGTACAAATTATGAAATTCAAACATAAAATTCATAGGCGGTTTTATATACAATAGTTTTAAGAATTTAAGCATGTTCGCATGATTGTCCTCGCGAGCCTGCGTGCATTTGTTTTGTCCAATTTATTTATTGTAAGATAAAATGAGTTGCTTGAATAAAGTGCACAAAGGCATATTCATTGAGAAATTCCTAAAAGAAAGATATTTAATTGTTCTATTTATTATTTGATCACTTTTTACATATTACCGATTTTTTCCCCATAATTTCATCGATAGGCGACTGAGGCAATTCAATGCTCATCATTAGACAAGAATAAGATAAACAAGATTGCAATAACAATTAGTAATATTCAGAAGAACTATAATTTAAAATTAGCTAGGACTTTTGTGATGCGTTATCTTAGAAGATAAAATTAGTGTACAAAGAATTTTCATCAAGTGATATATGCATACGCATGTGTGAGCATAATTTACCATTATTTGAAGTACAACGGGAAAATAAATAATAATAATTTTTTGCTTTTATAGTTATATTCTAAATATCTGCACATGTATATAGGTATACGCATCAATGTGTCTGTGTATTTATGATTGTTGAGAAATTCATATATTACGGGAAAAACATGAATTGTAAGGAATTTTGAATAAAATGGATGTAGCACTGTTAACTTGGATAAAGTTGATATATTTAATTGTTTTATGGTATTTATGGTCATTTTTTTTTAGGTAATAATGATTGTGTTTCCCTCTATTTGATATTATTACCAGGCAATTGAGGCAATTCGATGCATGTCGTTGGATGCAAGCAAGATAGAAAGCATCACATTGATGGCTAGTCATTTTCGAAGGATGCATTATTTAATGTCCCTTCAAGTTTACAAGTCAGATCGGGAAAAGCCTTCAAAGTTGAATATTTGTGAACCGTTGGATTATCTTTCTAAAGAATTAAGGTTTCTTAGTTGGGAAGAATATCCACTGCCATCTGTGCCATTACAATTTTGTGCTAAGAATCTCATTGAACTTAATTTGCCTGACAGTAATATCCAACAACTTTGGGATCAAGTACGTATAGTTTCTCATATGTCATAATTTTTTGTTGTTGTGATTCTAAGAAACATTGCCTAAAGTAATTCACAATGCAAATGTTTGCTTTATTACTATCTTTAAATTGATGGTAGTAGTAATTGTACTATCTACGGGGAGTCCAACTGTTCTTGTAGTGGGCATGAGAAAAATTGTTGAGTAAATTGTATGTGCATGTAGTTAGTAATTTATTTAACACTACTGCTTGTTTTCTTTCGCAGCAATTCCCAAAATTAAAGAAAATAAATCTATGGTATTCAAAAAATCTCAGGGCACTCCCAGATTTGTCTCAAGCCCCTATGATTGAACGTATGATTCTTCACGGTTGCATGAATTTGGGTCAAATCCATTCTTCGACTATCCCGAAACAGCGTGTCGATTTATTTATAGGAGATTGTGGGCCGATGCAGATAAATGTCGGGGGCAGTATAAAAGGGAGAAGTTCATCAGGGTTAATAATTATGCGCAATTATTTGGATCTTGTCGATTTGACATTCAATAAAGTGACAATGAAGGTGATGGTGTGCGGCAATATGATGTGTGGCGTTGGATTTAAGCATGTGACAATGCCATTGAAAGAGACGACAGAATTCATGAGAATGGGAATACAAAGTTTGGTGACTTTACTTCCATTTGTGAGGACAGTTGAATGGTTAGAGGGTTTGATTGAGTTTGGGCATGATTTCAACCAACATCATACTTGTGATGTTCATCATTATTACAACGAAAATGTTCCCTCTGGTATTATTGTGAGGGTGAGGGGTGATAGAGGTGAAAGGGGTGTGAAAGATGATGAAGAAGAGGATGAGGATGATAGAGAAATGATTAGTAAAGGTGATCAAGTAGTAGAGATGACATTATTATTAATGGAAGATGAGGATGATAGTAAGATGGACGATACATTGTTAACAACACTACTTATTCCTAACACCATCCCTCGCTGGTCACTATTGATTCGACTGACATTAAAAGAGGGTGATAGTATTGGGAATAATAATGCAGGTTGCAGCAGCATCCCTCAAGTTTCAATATTCCTCAAATCACTTAATGAAGATTGCAGGGCAAGGATTCAGCCTCTTTTAGGAGTACAACTCTCTTCCCCAATATCTCCTTTACCTCATCATTCTTTCAAAGTCTTTTATAACTACTTGGAGAGGATGCTACAACGTCCTCGTTTTTTTTTTTCAACAGTGAATACTATGGTCATGACTTAGTTGTTCACTTTATGAAGTACTGTTGTTGATATTAATTATCATTTAAAGTTTTCAGGTCATAAAATTATCAGTCTCATTTATTTTTTTTATTACATATTAATATTATGTTTTTATGAAATATTAATTTTTCTGTTTTTTAATATGTAATTCATGTACGAAGGGCATCCTCACAACTTTATAGCATAAAAATTGTTAATCTTATTTTGGCTTCACAATAACTGCACCTGTTGTGTGTGTTACTCTCCATGTGATGTGAGTATAATAACTAGCATGACAAACTATTTCCTTACTAAGCAATTTTATTATAAGAAAGTAGAATGATTACTTATGAATAAGCTCAACTTGTAAATGTTAAAATGTTATAATATTTAAATTGTAAACTACATTAAAATAAAAGATATTTGTTTGATCGGCCACCTTCAATCATTCCAAGTTGATAACGTGGTTAATTGGCACTGTGGTCATTTTCACTTTTTTTCAACAAAAAAAAAAATCTATTTCTACTTGGTTTTCTCACTTGAGATCTAGTAGTAATTTTCCCTTCATATTATGTGACATCAATGATATATATATTTTTTGAAGTGTGATTCATTGAGCGCTTCCTCACAACCTTAGAAAACACTAGAAATTATTAATCTTAATGTTTCTTTTCAATAATTGTTCTATCGTTTGTTACTTTCTGCGTGTGTACATTGTATAACTTATTTAAAAATAAGTGGAGAAATAATTTTCTATTGCAAAGCAATTTCCTTGGGATTATTCATTATTTACCATGCATAGAGTATCCCATAACTTGTACTTCAAAAACATGTATAGCCTGCTTGCATAACATATATTTACCAAATTAAACTATAACAGGAAGTATTACCATAACTCATATTTATTACAATAAGTTGTTCACTTCATGAAACGGCATCATTTTTTTACAGCAAAAACCATGTCTTTATTCATTAATAACTCTGTTTGGTTGAATGTTAATGGAAGAATGAAAAATTTAATAAGCTCGATTTTTTATGAAAATGAAGTAGGGTTGAAAGATTTTAATTAATTTTTCTTACCTCTTACTCTTCTAACTTCTCTCCATTAATGGAGGCACAATGATACCTGTAACGTCCCGAATTTTATGACCTAAGATGAACAAAAAAGAGAAATTCATTAAAATTATTTAATGACTAAATAAAATTAGAAAAAATTATAGAATATTGATTTTCAGGGTTTAGAGATATTTTTAAAAATTTATTTCTCCAAAAATGGCTTAAATAATTTTATTAGATAATTTTAAGAGAAAATGGCTTATTTTTGCAGAAAATTATGAAAAAAAATACTTAGATATTTATATTTAATCTGAAAATTTTAGGATAACCAGTTGTGATGGTGAAGAAGATAACTGAGGTATAAAATCCTTAAACTGGGGTAAGGATTAATTTCTGGAATTAAATGCTATTTTCTAGAAAAATTCAAAAAAAAAAGTTCGGAGTTGATTTTTGACCTGGAATTTTTATAAAATTTAGTTTAGTGGTCGAGGAAGATAGTGAATGAGGAAAACCCGTATAGAACATCAAGGATTAATTTTGGAATTAGTTGATTATTTCAGAAAAATAGTAGAAGGAAGAAATCGCAAGAAAGCATTGAATGTAAGGGCAAAAGGGACATTTCGTTTTTCACTTCCACATCACACGTGTACTGCCTCACCGTTTAACATAAGATAACACTTCCTCCTCATTTTTCACTCGGCCACTCGAAGGAAAAGTGAGAGAGACGAGAGCGAGACCACACGAAATGAGAGCGACGGAGGAGGAGCGGAGTTGGTGGTCGGAGGTATTTCTACTGTATGCAAACCGATCAAACTATCCAGGTGAGCTCCCTAATCCTTCTCGCACCTTTATTTTCATTGAACAGGGGCTGTTTGAGGTGTTGATGAAGATAGAAGTTTGGTTTTAGTGAGAGAAACTCCCGATTAAAGCTGAAAATTGATGACGATGAAAGAGTAGTTCTTGTTGATGATAATGGAGTATGATTTTTAGCTTGCATGTAGATTCCATGCCCCGTTTATGTGGACCGAAACAGAGGTTAAAGGGAGGAGAAGGACGTTTCATATATATTATATATATGCATGTGCCGCGGGATCCTGAAGGTGCTTGTGTGTGCTGTGTTTCTAAGCTTTGGGTGTGTGTGAGAAGTATAAGCGTGAAGTGGGTTGCTAGTGTGACTGGTTGCATGTGTTGTTTTCCTCTGTTTATTGCTGTCCGAGCAGGGGAGTGAGTCGCTGGTTTAATATGAAAACGGGTTGTGTTCATGGAGTGTCTTGAATGGGTTGCATGTGGGATTTCTTACTCTGTTTATGATTACCAAAAGCAAGGACCACAGTTGCTGCTGTAGTGCTGTCGGATTTATGGGTAAGGGAAAGATTGACAATATATACACACACATATGTATGTATGCTGGATTTTGTGGTTTTAGTCGAGAGCTTTGGTGTTGACTGCTCTTTGGTTGTTGTTTTGTGTTTGGCCGAAAGGAACTTTATATTTGTGCGTGTGAAGTTGAAGTAATCAAATAGAATAAATCTGGTGTGTGTGTGCGTGTGCGCGCACATATCCCTATGCTTGCTATTCGAATTGAGATTTGTTGATGTTGGGGGTGTGAGTCTCGAATCTGGAATTTTAAAGATGGAACATATATAGTTACTGAAAATTGAGTACGTTAGGAATGAATTAATTCCATGAAAAGTATTTCCCCATGAGCTTAAGACATGGAAAACGAAGGGAATGTAGGATTAAGGTGCTGTAATGGTGATTTCCAAGGTTGGAAGTGATTTTCAGATTTAAGTGATGAAAGGATTAATTAAGAAGTGGAGGTTGGGGAAGTGTATGAGTGGTAGGGAATTGACCGGGACGTTTGGGTGTGTTTTATGGTTAAAAGGTTGAATAGGGAATGTAAGTTTTTAAGGAGGATAAGGAGAAAAATTTAAGTGTAATGAGGTGAATAAGTATGGTCAAAGATTAGTCCTGGGTATGTGTTGAAAATCAGGAAAATTTCCAGATTTGAAGTAAAAACATTTAAAAATTGATTTCAACATTTGTATGGGTATAAAATAATTTTAGGATTTTGGAGAAGGACCCTGATGTAAATACTTGAGGTAGTTAAGTATGATTAAATATTTTAAAAGGTTTTAAAGGGAAGCAAGGAATAGACTAATAGTTATAGAATGAAAACAATGGTAGATTTTGGGGATTTAATGACTGGAATTAGAATTAAACTTGGTGGCTGTTTTGGGGATCAAAGAAATTAACCTAGGAATTGATTTGAAATTTTATTGTTGAGGTTTGTTTGAGGTTTCCAAATGGTGGATGGAAATTGTAAATGGATTGATTGATAGTTCATTATGTTTGGAAATTATTTAAGGTATGTATTTGGAAAATTCTTAATGGAACAGTTAATGGCTAGGGTATGGGATAAAATTGGTAAATGATAGAAGTTGTTAGAAAGACTGTTGGAGGAATACTAAACCAAAGTTTAAAAAGGTCAATAGATAATTAGAAATTAAAATTGCTTGGCTTGGATTTAAATGATAAGTATTATGTTAATTGTTAATGAAAGTTAAAAAAGCTTATAGAATTATTTTGGGAAAATGAAGTTAAATAAGGATTAAAATAATATATATAAATATGTGTGTGTGTGTATATCTTTACTTTTTCCATGATACCAACTACTTAATAGTGGAACTGAAATTGGAATTATATATAGGTTTTGATTTCTGTAAAAACCCACTGAGGAAGCTAAAAGAAAGGAACA